TTGTGTGAGTGGGAAACGTGGTGAGCAACAATTTTATTCAAATTGTATAACATCAAATAAATGTACAAAACGTTAACCAAAGGAAAATTACTACTATACTCGCTACTACTACATTACGATTTAATTTTTGGTGAAAATTATAAAAATTAATGCTGTTCCGTTTTCAACTTTAACACTTGAAATATTAAACACCAACTTTATCATTCATTTATGGTCTCAAATGTTTTGTCGCAAAAACTTAAGCTCGTTTACTGCTCTATTATCGTACCCATCTTGAAGAGCCTATACTCAGTAACGGCTATCTAATCAACAGATAGGAAGCACCTTACATCTTCTTCCATTGCTTCTTCTTCAGACCTTAAAGTCCTTTGGAGGACAGGCCTTAATTATCACGCTTGGCAGGCGAATTTACAGTGGCAGCACCAAACATTTCACACATTTGAAGTTGGGACCATGTGTGCCCCATCCTCTTTCTCCGTTCTTTTGATTTTACATTTGGATAAAACGAAGTACCTGCAGCGACAATTATCGAAATCTGTAAGAATGATGAATTATGTTGCGCCACCACCATAGGACTAATACACTAACATAAAACTTACAATCTGTATATTTTTGATATACCTAGAACTACTGCAGTTAGACACTGGATGCAGTATGTAAATAGGTTAAGCCAAGGAAAGGTGACGAAATGCTCGTAGGCCTTAGAAATTTAAACAACTCAAATGGTCCGAGAGTTAGTGACAAACTCTAATTCTAACATAATAAACGTATTTACCACTTTTCGGGCTGTAATCGTGTAATTTCGATATAAAATTATAAAGGAAGCTATCTTATGTCATTCTAACAAACAAGTGCTAAAATTAAAAAATTTGTACAACCGACGTCAATATAAATAAAATGAGAACATCATCAATGTAGTTGAAGTCAATTAAATACGCATTATTAAGGATAACTCAAAAACTAACAGTCAGATCTTGATTATATGGGACTACATGAGAAGCACTAGCTTTCAAATAAAAAAATATTTACCTAAAAAAAAGTTTAGTAACAAACATAAAAAAGCATACAGTCGAAGTGAGTACCTCCTCTTTTTTGAAGTTGGTTGAAAACAATTAAGATATAATGGACCCGTGTTTAATTTCCAAAAAAAAATATGATTGAAAGGAATTAAAGAACTATGCAGTAGACAGAGTAAATAAAATACGATATGGCATTGAACGTAATTTGGCTTATTGATTCCATCAATTTTTCCGCACACTATTAGGTAGTAGAATGTGCATACGTCAGTCATTATACTTAAGTTACATGTGTAAGTCATACAAGTGATGACTTACGGATCTGAGACTTGCTCTTTTACTGCTGGCCGTATGAGAACGCTCAAGGTCGCTAAGCGAGCTATGGAGAGGGTTATGCTCGGGGTTTCTCTGCGTGATAAACTCAGAAATGAGGATATCCGCAGTCGAACCACAGTGACCGAAATAGCCCAATGGATTAGTAAGCTGAAGTGGCAATGGATCGGCCATATAGCTCGAAGAACCGATGACCGATGGGGAAAAAAGGTTTGGCAGCCTCGTACCGGTAGGTGTAGTGTAGGTGTAGGGCGACCCCCCACTAGATGGAGTGACGACCTGGTAAGACATGCAGAAAGTCGATGGATGCAGGCGGCTCTGGACCGTGCTTTATGGCATTACTTGGGGGAGGCCTATGTTCAGCAGTGGACTTGTGAAGGGCTGTAATAATGATGATAATAATGATACTTGTGTAAGTATATGGTAAAGTAAAAAACTAAAACGTGAACAGTAAAGATAAAGATTTAAATCTTGCCAATGCCAAGCACTTAATCATCTTTAGCCACATCATCACAATCACGTGCAAATAATAATCAGGCAATTCCTTATGATAATAAAATTATAAAAATGTTGTAAATAAAGAGAGGATTGTAAAATAAGTGCCTTCGTTAGTTCGCAAGTAATAATCGCAATTATAGTTTTTAAAGAGTTTGTCGTTTCTTTTACCAAGTTTATAAGATTATATTTTTCTTCCAAGGAAAAGCTATAATTGACGCCACATAATCCTATTTAATTGGTGGCTGTTCAATGCAAATTTAATCAATAGTTACTGATTCAACGTCTAACAAGGCAATAACGATATTAGTTGAACTTCGTTCTGTTCTTTAACCGAACACAGATTGGTTTGAAATTAAGGAGGAGAGTTTATCTGGTCGTTACAATTTAACAGTTGAATTTAAAATTTTATTTGAATAATCTTTAAAAAAAAGGTAACTTTTTTGGCAGTCGAGTAAATCAAAAGCATTTGTGCCGATGGTTATAGTAATTTTCACAAAAGAAACCACAATATTATTATAAAATATTCATATTGTAAATATTTAAAATAAAAAGCTGCAGCTTCTTGTAATACTTTTGAACTCAGTACGTGAATAAATCTATATATTTAAAATGTTACGTTCAATATATAACCACTGAATATTATAAAGTCCAAAGCCCCCGTATTTATTTAAACATCCTGTCAATATAGTAAAACACTTTCTGTAGAGAAAAAATATTATAAGAATAAATATACAAAATAACACTTTGATTTTAGAAAAAATATTTATTACCTAGGCCTACATCACCAATTACCTCTAAAAGGAATGGTAGTTAAGCAACTGGCTTAATAAGTAATAATAACAGTGCTTACTTTCTAAACCAATTCGAAGACATCTACAGCGAATGTGAAAAAAATATTTTCTTAACTTTTTTTGTAAAGAAGTGATCCAATTAGTGTTCAACAAAAGTTTCAGTGAGTATTGGCTTGTCTCCAACCATTTTAACGAATAATCCAAGAATTATTCATTATCGCCAATTTGATTTAGTTATTTAAATGATTCCTCCTCGTCCTCAACATTACAGTCTAACAAAATTCAACTGCTGAATAAAGGCTTTTGTCTTGTGGGAGGATATTTGCAATAGATGCGATAGATCTTTTACCATAACGTGATAGAGCTACGCTGCAGCTGTATTGTGGTTGTAGCATGAATTGTTCGGCTCGACCGGGGAAGGGCCACGCTCTCACTGAATATCAGCAGAAAATAGTACATTGCTGATGTGTTTTGTATGATAAGTGTAGATAACCGGAGACCCTTTTCGCTCGCAACGAAGCATTCCATCATAGTTCCCAGGGGTGACAACGTGTCTGCATTTTCAGTTTCAATCAAGGATATATGTAGATGTCTATGGGCCACAGCATTCACTTACTGTCGGGTGGACTGTGTGTTCGTTTGTCACCCTTACTCTATAAAAAATTGGCTTGGCTGGCGGGTTGGCAACTGCAGTTTTTTATTATTTTAAACTTTTATCAGAAAGATTAAGTTTCCTTCGGTTGTCTCTTAGGACACTGGTACAAATAGCGGCTTCTCTTACACTTCCTCAATAAGGCAAAATATAAAAAAATATTTTTTACGTTAATAACTCATTTCCGTTTGCGCGAGAAACGAAATTCCCACACGGGTAATGGGCAGCACAGATTACGCCATCTTATCCAGCAGTGGACACATATATGGGCTGGAGATGATGGTGTTGTTGATTGAAATGTTAATTTAGATAAACTAGCCATATTTTTCAATCTTTTTGTACAAAATAAATATAAAATCGACTTTTAATTACTTTTTAGCGGAGTTAAAAAACGAGGAGGTACTCAATTCGACTGTTATTTTGTATTACACGTATGTTACCGCGATGTAATAGTCAAATTTGAACTGATTTTAATTATTATTTGTATATAAAATTATGTCATACTCCAGTGACGAGTCTACCCCCTAAGTAGTAATAAAATAGAGTATGCAGTATTTTTAATATAAGCATTTAGACGACATTCCAGTTGTAACCTTGATCTTTTCTATATTTCTTAATCCACTCAAAAGAGTCAAAAAAATACGCTTTTAATAACCATTAAACTAAACTTCTTCTTCGATTTCGAAATACAAAAAAGTAAAATAATTTCCTTATAATATATAATAGCTTTTGAAGTCGGGGTTTTAATTACTTTTAGCATTTAGCATCTTTTAAGTGATTACAATAATAACTTATCTTAAGAGAAAAAATACATTTTACATTCCTGATACGCCGTAAGTGCCTACATACAATACCATCCGCATAAAACTAGTGGTAAAGTCCCTTTACCTCTGTTATTTCTTACTAATTTGTTATGGACTAATTATTTCTCTTCTCAATTCTCTCTCACTTAAATAAACAAAATCTTCGTTAAGTTTTATTTAGAAAATTCAGAATATTTACGAAATAAACGGCAATAAAACATTAAACTATCACCGTTACGATTTGCAATATTATCTTTTAATGTTTTAAATGTACCCGAGTACTACACATTAAAATTAAAATAATTTTACGAATTTTATCTTTTAAGTCAATCAAATATCCAATCTTCCAGTGAAGCGATGGTGAAACTCGAATCCCTTTACATTCCTTTTCCTTTCTATATCGAGGGACGCCTTCCACCACTGAACTTAAACTGTTCATGTGGAATCTTACATGAATCGCTTAGCTGCCTCCGAATGGAATGTCTTAACTGATTTTGAAACTTTGTCGTTAATATTAGAGTATAAAAATATTTTCGCTGTTAAGACATTCCATTGAGGTATTTCCTTTTCCCATTCCCCTGGTATGTTAATAAGATAACTCTTATCATCATACCAGCGACATCTGAATAGATGTTAAATGTTTTTTTTTAATTTATAGAAAAGTGATATAGAAATATTTACCAAAGTATATTTTTGATGTGAAAGTATCAATTTAATTCCGTCGAAGTACAAAGTATACACACAGTGCTATAAATAATTAATTTAAAAGTGATTAAAAACTATCAATATGTGTTAAAATAATAAAATTTAAAATGACATTAAAAATAATTATCACCGTCTTAGAACTGTTTTGTGTGAAAAGTGTAAAAAGTAAAACGATATGGGATGACTCACAGTGAAAAATGTTATGTTCGAAGCACTATCGAAACCCAAGATGATGCGCGACATTCAGGACAATGCTGGGCCAGGCGCAAGCGGCACGATGGAGGAAAACGAGGGCGGCGAGAGTGGGGATGTCGAGGTCGATATGGACGACTACGGCTCTCTGACTCTTCCCCCAGACCTTCCACCATATTCAGGCGATTACATCATTAGTGATTACATGGAACGTCTTGGTACTCGACTTAATATACTCGAAACGGAACTCAAGTACGCCTGGCGAGCATTAGATCTGCTAAGCCAGGAATATGTCAGAATGTGGGAAAGGCTAGAGAGATTAGAAGCACTTCTTGCAGATCAACAGGGTGTAATATCAACTTTGCTTGACTTTTATACTTGTCGCACTGTTGCTTCTAGAGATCCAATGACCAGGCTAGAAGTTATTAGAGAAATATTAGGAAATGGGACTGTTGAGGATGGTATAGAAGAAGGATTGGATATAGGACGAAGTGCTTTATTAATTGACACTCAAGATGAAGTAATGGAATCGGATGAGGCATTTTATAAAAGCTTGAATCAGGCTTATCGAGACGATCTTGTTTGTGAAGAAAGTTCTATACCTAATTCACAGCTTGATATGATTTGGGAAGCACCTGAAGAACCTGATATGGAATTAATGCCTTCATCATCCCGACAAATTTACAGTGCAAATAATTACAAAGACTATTGTGGCCTACAAGATGAACCTGGTATTAGTGAAAGAGATTTGGTTCGTTTATCTACTTTTAGTACAATAGATCAGATAACTGTAGATAAATTACATGAATTAGATAGGTTGACAAGCCAATTACACAAAGATTCGAGAGAGTTAAAAGACTTGAAAAGTAGACTACTTAGCCCTGATACAAAAATTTCATCAAAACATGATAGAGACATTGAAGCGAAAACATTAGTAGAAGATGGAAATATTATAAACGAACAATTAAAAAACATTTATACAGGAAGTGAAAACTGGGGTATCAACGATATGATGAAAAGTTTTGACGATTTTGTTTTAACTGTACCTAAAGAGACACTTACAAGTGACAAATCACCTTCAAGAGTGTCACTTACTGAAAATACTGTATCCGAAAAAAAAATTGAATATTTACCAACAAGTATATCACCAAGAAGAAAATTTGTGCCAGAAAGAACTACAACGGAGCCATATACAACTGTAACCGGTCGCTTAGCTTATAGTACAGCTGTAGCGAATGCTGAAATAAATGCAGCAAAATCATCAAAATCCCCTAGTGCCCTTTCTAAAGAAAGATTTGAATATAGTTCTAATTACCAACTAACCGATGTTCCCCGGCAAAATTTTTATTCACCTAGAGCAACATCTCAAACGTTTGATGAAGAATACAAAAGAATTTCAGATCAGCATTCGCCTTTGTCTGTTCATGATGTGTACGATGTACCTATGGATAACATATTGGAGATAAATTATGAAGACACTAAGCTGCACAAATCTCCTAGTCCTCCACCACCAGCTCCTCTTAGTGGCATTGAACTATTTTCTCCGGTTGAAAATAATAACGAATTATCCTCTCGACACACGATGTTATCCACCGCATCTGTTCCAGTAGACACTATACGTTTAAGTCCCCGATCTCCAAAATCTCCAAAAACATCACCTAAATTTTTGAAAAAAGATACTACTAATATAGTTGCAGCGAAGTCAGATTCTGGTTTATCATCTATGAGCGGATGGTCAAGTCTTGAAAAAAGCCCAGGTTCACCAAAAACCTCCAGAATATCGCACGGAAATTACGATGGTCATAAATTAAGGATATTATCTCCACAAGGTATTCATAAAGTAGCGTATGAAATCGAACCAAAGCCATACATTGAAACATTAGTAGATTCATATCGGTTTGAAGGTCAAACTGTTAAACGAGATTATAATTTTCGAAATGATGAAATAAAAGTCATTTCTAATTCCACAGAAAAGTTACAGAGTAAAATCGATACAGGCCTTTCGAAAACTGATATTTCATACTCAAACCAAGCAATTACAAATATGAGTGAGTACTACTATGGAAATGAAGCACCATCAATTTATTCAGTTGCAGGGAATAGACAACCGATCTTTACCACAGTATATAGCAGTCCACGAGGAATGTTATCAGATAATAGAAGTTTCTCTCAATTATTGGACACAAGTACTATTTCAGAACCTATTTCTAAACCTGCGATCGACCCATATCCACCGGAACCAAGCTATCATGCACAAACTGTTGTATTGTCAGCAGCAAATGTCACAAAAAAACCTTTGTTAAGAGCAAATACAATAGGTGCTAATGATCCTCATTTTTATCAAAATGGATACAAAGTAGCAAATCATCGTTCAGGATACCCACAGGGCAATCTTACAGATGCGTTATCTTATTATCCAACTTCTAGCAGATATGACTCACCAAAACGAGTACAGTTAGAAGATCAGCTGTCTTGGCAAGATAGTAATAAATCTCCATCAAGTTCAATAGAAACTTCCAGCTTAAAGTCGCGATCACTTAACATAACCGAAAGAAAACACTTTCAAAATCAACTTCAACAAGAATATTTCAAGCAGCAGCAATATGACCAGCGTAATGGTAATGTTATATGTGAAGTTCAGGAATATGAAAAACCTATTATAGATCATCCAACTACAGGGAAAGAACAATTTGTAGATTCAAGTGGAATTTTAGTTTCTGAATCAGGTTATTTATCGATTTCATCAAATCTTAGAATGAAAAGTCAAGATAAGTCCTCAAAAAAACCAAAACGTACATCATCACTAAGATCAGCTATGTCATCTGTGAGTCATTGGCTACCTGATTTACATTTACCCAAAAAACATAGATCTCACTCTCTCCCATCTGGTGTTGATACTATGGAACAGCCCCCACAAGAAAAATCATTAAAGGAAAGAATATTATCAGCACAAAGAAGAAAAAAGAAATACCAATTAGTTGCATCTATGTCCGGATTACTGCAAAAAGCTAGACGAAAACAACAAACTAGTCATCAATCGTTATCTGACCCCGAAACATCAGAAACAGAATGGTCAGGAGGTAGATCTAGCGCTCAGTCTGAAGATAGTGATAGTGTATTTTCGGATTCAACACACGAAAACAATGTATTTGCTAAAGTTCCTGTAAAGCAAAGACAAAGAAAAACTAACAATCAAGAAATCGTAGAACAACAGCAAATGATTCAAGAACTACAACAGGGACCAGAACTACATGAAGAAGATAATGAATACGGTATAGAAGAAAATGAAAAGTACAACGCCGCCATTCCCCGGGATAAAAGCGATGATATTGATTTTCACTTTGCACGGGTTAGCCAAATGAACAAAGATAATATTTCCGAAATTGAGAAACTTGATATCGATACTGATATATCGAATATTGATCTATTTGAAGAGAATGTAAAAGGCGATAACCAATCGCCAACTTCAATATTTGCAACAATAGGAGATGTAAAAAAGGCTGCAGCAGTTGTAGATGAAGGAACTAATGAAAATAATAAGTCATATAGTAGTAGTTCTCAAGAATTTGCAGTTTCACGTGCCTTGGGTAAATACCGACTTCGTAAATCGACCTCTATTTCTGATGAACAAATAAGCAATAAATCTCCCCCCAGAATAGATATGAATTCCCAAGAGGAACAAAACGATGAGTCAGTAAATAAAAAAGATAAGAGACATCGCAAGCCTAGTCCTCCAGAAATTGTTAATAATTCAACTCACGAAGAAAACGTTTTCTACCCTGAACGAAGTCCATCTAATCAAAGTGCACGAGGACTCCCAAATAAATTTATTCCACGTCATCAACAAAGTTTAGATATACCTAATAAACATGAGGATGATGATAGCCGTAGTACACATTCATGGAGAAGTGGGTCCCGCGTATCATCAAGAAGGCAAAGCACAGAAGACAGTATAGATTCTGAAGATGAGTGGTATTGCTACGAATTAAGAAAATTAGAAGAAATGGAACACCAATCTCAGCAAGAAGCAGAAAGGCAAAAAACATTAACAGAAGAACCTGAACCTGAGGACGGAAGTGCTGTTGAATCTAGTGAGGATTTGAAGGAGAAAATGTCCTATGTACTTCAGGAGCTTCAACTCAAAACAGCTCCGATAAAAGAAAAATATGACGATCTTCAAACAAAGGAGACTTGGAAAGATATAACGACATTTCCTTCAATTGAAGAGAAGTCAGACGAGTCCCATGTTGACAAAGATTATGAGGAAGAAAAGTCGTTTGACGATTCTGGATCTGGTGAAACATCAGGACCCGATAGTCCGGTTCAGAGTGGAGATGAATTTGAGGACGACTACAATATGCCTCAAATACAATATCAAGAACAAGAACGGGTTGAAAAGCCTCCAGTCCAGCAAGAAACGCAAGTAGGAAGTAAATGGAAACTACTTAAAGCATTAAAAGATAGGAAAGCAGAAGAAAAGACTTCGGAAGCTCCCGCAGCGACGACGCCATCTGCTGAGAAGGATAAAGTTAGTGCTGGTGTAAGTTATCTTATGCAAAAATTTCATGAAATTAGAGTCAAAAGTTAAATTTTTATAAATTCCCATAAGATAAATATTTATGACTTTATAGTCATTCCTAATGATATTCAAAGTTGTGAAGGAACTGAGCATTTCCTGCAAGAATTAGATATCTGCTTCACTATATAACACTCTACCACCTATTAATGATATCAATATTAACAAATTTTAGTAGAATTGCGAGAGTTTTATTTGGACCTTATTATCTTTTAAATATTAACTTTGTATATGTTTATTATAACATGGTATCATACTCAAATATCTTAGGATTAAAGTGCAGTGGTTGTGAAATATACTCAACTCAACGAATAGTTTTGTTAATAAATATGCATAATGTCCTCGTCGCGAAAGGCTAGAAATCATGTAAACTTTAAGTTTATTATAGTTGTATGTAACTTCTTTCATACTTTCCAGAAATAAAAAATAATAATAACCCCAATCTCCAACAAGCAAAAAATTTTTGTACGAGTTTTAAACTTAAAATACTTTCTTTTTTACAGGCGCTACGCCAACTTTAGTGATTATTGTCTTTGTTCTGACTCATTAATGTGGAAATAAATCAAGTTCCTAATTCTCATACAAATATATATTTATTTTCTCTATTTTTCCTTCCTTAGCAGTGTAAGTCATCCCTTAAAAATAATTCCTCAGTATAAATAAATAAATATTTTCATTATTATCAGTGTACAAGTTATAGGTATGAAAAAAATATAGTAGAACATATATATTTATTGAATAAGCAAGTTCCATTATAGGGTGTGTCGCAAAATGCTTTAAAAAGTACTAACGTCCATTGCGTCCATGCGTTTTAATACTAAAAAAACTAAAAACACTATAATATATTGGCTTTAAAAACAATTTTATATAACATATTATATGTGATACAATGTAAACAAATAAATATTATGACAATCATTGAAATGTATGTGAAACGTTAAAACCAACTGTTTTCCTAAACGTTTAACGTCAGGACGTCAGATTGATGTTTCTTGGCAAACTGTCAGCACCCGTTTCGATAGCCTCCGGTACCATGATAACCATGGAGATAGTAAATGCTACTCACCACTCACTTATTGAGCTGCATCCAAGTTAATTGGCCTATTATTTAACATACCTATTATCTGCTTCGATATTTTTTTGTTTTGTTACATAATTTCTGGCACTTCGTTACGAGAACTATAGTCATATATGTAATATTATAAAAGTAAATGAAATTATTACAGCGGACTTAGTGATGGGGACAGAAAATGAGGTGCTTTGAAAACAAATTGACCTCATTGACATTTTACATTGTTTGTTATTAAAAATCCTAATTACTGAGGCAATAACTAGAAATCCACACTGCAATATGTACTAAATGTGTTCCGAGTTATATTTTATAAGCCATTTGATACATTGCTTTAGTAGCTATATTATGCAGATAATATAAAAATACTATATACAATTTAGAATACGCATCTTGCTTAAATGTATATAATATACAACATTATTGATAAATATTATATGTACGGTTAAATAAACGTTACAGACAGTTAAATTTTAAGGCATAGAAATCTTATGAGAACCCAACGTCATCATTCAAACGATATCATGCTACCTACATTGTAATAGAAAAGCAGCATAGGGAACATAAAATGTACAAAATCGTTCATCGTCATATCATTTCATACCACAAATTATAAAATGGCTTAATTACTATGGCCTGTCAAAAAAAATCTTATGAGAACCCAACGTCATCATTCAAACGATATCATGCTACCTACATTGTAATAGAAAAGCAGCATAGAGAACATAAAATGTACAAAATCGTTCATCGTCATATCATTTCATATCACAAATTATAAAATGGCTTAATTACCATGGCCTGTCAAAAAAAATCTTATGAGAACCCAACGTCATCATTCAAACGATATCATGCTACCTACATTGTAATAGAAAAGCAGCATAGGGAACATAAAATGTACAAAATCGTTCATCGTCATATCATTTCATATCACAAATTATAAAATGGCTTAATTACCATGGCCTGTCGAAAAAAATCATTATTTTATGTAGTTCATATTAAAGAGGGTATGAGTTCAGGAAAAAAAAGTAAAAAAACATAAAGGCATTGAATATTTAATCGAGAATTTGTGTATACGTTGTTAATTATTAAGTCATTAAACAACAAACAATCACTATTCACTTCAAATTCTTATATAATCATGGCTTGGATAAAATATAATCACTAAGCTGATTTCGAAATCGCCTTACTCTTGACACTGGTATAAAACACAATGTCTATGATATAATCTAACTGTAGAAGATCGCTTACAATTATTGTGTAGTCGTTTACACCTACATAAGAATTAGCTGGCACATAATATTCTAAGTCTTAGAAGTTTTATAGTAGAATAACATCGCTATAAAGTCCTAATAAAAAGTCCTAATTTGGCGAAACTAAAATACTTTAGACGTTAAGAACACTGTATCTGTTCTTGCTTACCCGGTATGAAATCACAATAAATAATCTGCTTTCGAATTACTTATTCATACAAACAAAAGGTGGTGACATCCATAAGCTGATTTTTGTAATGTTAATTTGAAAGAAGTTGTTAAACTTAAACCCTATTGAAATGTATTAAACTATGTTATATCATAATGTTATTACTCCATGTTGTAGAAGTTAGCGACTTTAGAATTATTATTGTAGTGTCAAATGTTATTAGAGTTAAATTTCGTTTGAAGTTTCTTAACCTTATATAAACGGAAACCGCTATTAAAACTGTTTATTATTAACTAATATTTGAATATAACAGAAATAAAACACACAAAAGAAACTTCTCTCGAACATGATATTGTTATTCCTATTATTTTAAATAAAATCTTGTTAGTTTCTATTTATTTATTTTTTATTTTTCTTATATATTTTATTTTTATTTTTTAGAATGGATCCGGTGGCTTTAGTGAACAAGGTGGTCGAGGAAATGGGTATGTTAACACGATATGTATTTTATATTAGGGTAAATGTTTGTAACGTAATAATTATAGGAAACGACGAATTGCGACGTTGTGTTTATGTCTATTTAGATAGTGCATATCTATTCAAACAAACCCTTACACTTACCCATAATTAGCCAGTAAAAAGGAATGGTTATTTAATCTACGGTCCTTTTATTTAAAAGACCTCACACTGAGCTGCTAAATGTTAATTTTGTAACAGAGCGTTTTCAATATTTAATTATATACATTTCAAAAAGTTTTCGGCAAAATTGAACAAAAACTGTTTATTTCTATATAACTTACTAAGAGTGATGGCGCAGTAAGGAGCATTGAGTGTGCATTATAAATGCACGCTCCTCTATTACTGCATCTTGCACTGCTGTTTCGGTCTGAAAGGGATAGTGTAAATATAATAATAGGCTATACATATATATTATATATATAGTGGCCATTCCAACGCATGTTAGCCTTCTTTCAGTCCTTTCAAAATCACCATGAAATAGGGGATATATGTCATGAATTCGTTCTTTCAAAGGAAGCCCTAACGGAAGTGTACGTGGCGGAGCTCTGACAACGAGACAAAATGTAGGATCGACTTCATCGTGACAGATAAAAGACGCATCATATTCAGAGATGTCTTAGCGTTTAGCTAAAGCCACCACCGACTAGTCCAAGGGACTCTGAATAAAATGTTTATACTCACTGAAAAGATCCCACCTGATGAAGCCCACGCTGTAACAAAATCTGTTTTAAATCGTAGCTGATTCTTGATACTTCCAGCTGGAACCTCAAATCAATTTGATGCCCTGAGACCCACGTTATGTTTTGAGAGGGATATAAGAACTAAAACATTCCTATTTTGATTTGTAAATAATGGTATGTTAGTGGAAAGAGTTAAAATACATGGGAGAATCAGCAACAAATCCTTCCGTTTTATTAAACTTAGTGACATGGAGTGGAGATTGCGTCTAAGCAAACGCAATGTGCGACGCTCCCTGACTAGATGAAGCAATGATCAAGCAAGTTGGCTACTAGCAAATGATTGTATAAAGCCGAAGTCTGTGCTAAGTAACGCGCAGTTGTCTGTCGCAGGTCGATGATTACGATGATATTTGAATAATCGTCGTGGGCCCATTAAATATCCACTGCTACAAAATTACCCTTGCATTTGTGGAAGGGGTACTAGGAATTTCGCACCCTTGACGTTGCTTCCCTACGTCGCGCCGGTCCATAGGCCTCTTACGCCTTTCATGAGACGAAATCACGTGATAGTTTCTATTACGCCGTAATAACGAGTAAAATATTAATGTTTTAATTTCTAATTTTATTAATATTAAGTGTCAATTACATATATTTTGATTTCTTTTTCATTTTTATAGACACCCCGGAGATAATCCCTTCTATAGTAACATCGACAGCATGCCCGACATACGGCCAAGGAGGAAATCAATTCCACTGGTATCGGAACTTGTAAGTAAAAGTTTTAATATCTTAATTGAAATCTACATATAATGCAAATAACATCCTAATGAAGTCAGCTAAATATGGCCAGTTTCAAATAACTTATTTCAAAAGACATCCTCATAATAATATGTAAGTATTTTAAAAGAGAGTTTAGGTGATTTTTCATATCTACTCAAAAGGTGGATTGACTAACTGGTCGTTTATGTTTTGAGCTCATATCAACGTTCGCTTTCTGGAGCTTAGTAACATTAGGCGCGTAATAAATGTCTTTTCTATACGATATAACTTTCTATTTCGTTAAACAATTTATGGAGAAAATATAATAACCTCACTTTACGGATATTATTCTTTTTTTTAAGTATGTATTCAAGACATATGAAATTTTAATACTCTCCATTTATTGTTTACGTTAAAATGGTACTTAAAAATTTAATACTTAACTTTATAAATCTACCTATCTTCCTATCTTCCTTGATGTTTAATGTTATCTTTTATTTGTGTATCTCCTTTCTTACTTACCCGAACGATGTCGATCAACTCACCCTAGATGGTCTTGCAGTCCTAAATACCCTGAAATTCGCCAGAAATAATTTAGCGGTTACCTGATAGCAAACAAGATGGAAAGCCATATCGTCGTAAATAAATTACTCCTGACAAAAATTAATAATGTACTTGCATTTTACTCCTTACCACGGACCTGCAGGTTCTCAAGGTATTTCCTCCCATTAACAATTCTTTTCTATGCATGCGTTACAACTTTTTTTAAATAGACAGGCTTTTGATATGCATAATATTTATTTTCTCTACTATATTCACCTCGCCATTTACAATTTTTATGCATGCATAAACCTTATTTTTATTAATCTAGTACTTTTTTAAATATTAAGGCCCTTTTACATATGTATCTGGTTTATTTTATTAAAAAATAATAAAGCTTTTTAGTTACATACCATTAATTTTAAGAAATCAACACGAAAAACTAGACAGGCACGCGCTTTCTTTTTGAATATAATTTCGATATTATAAAACGGAACAATACTCATTTTTATAAATAGTCTTCGAACATTACATCTTATAGACTTTCTCAATTTTTTTTTGCATATACACGTTAAGGTACACACTGCATTGCTTCAAGAAGATTTGCACTTTATTGGATACACTGTATGATTCATGTTTGAGAATATACTTTTTAATTTCGCATTAATTACATTGAAAACACGACAATATTTTTGTCATTATAAATTTTATATTAAATTATTTTAATTTTTAAAGAGGCTTACAGAACCGCTTTAAGATTTACAGCATGAATAGATTGTTCAAATAACGACGAATAAGCAAGAGTATTAACAGCTTTCAAATACCATTTTCTAACATGTTTTATAGTAAATTCAGATAATTATATAGTACAAAAATAAATACCTCATTAAATAAAACGCTTTCTTAATAACAATGTTACTATACAGACAATGGCCGCCACAAAAAGGAATGCCGGACTGACGTCAGCTGTTCATAGAGCAACTTTAAACGATGAAGAACTGGTGAGTTATTTAGACAAAAAAAAACTGTATTAATATAGATTAATGATACGTCAAGTGGTGTACGACAATCATTTAAAGGGGAATCCCTGATAAGAACCATAGATAGTGAGATAATGATTGTTTAATTATTTTAATATTAAAAATAAAAATTTCTGTTTAGTATCATCGTTTCTTTCAACATCCATAGGTTAATAGGGTGAGGTGAATTATCTTCCCCACAGCAACCCGTAGATGTTGTAAGAGACGATGGAGGGAAACTGTAACAGAAGATGGGCAGCAACACCTTCCTGATTACAACTTGATAATATTAAAAATATGACGGATGTCTACCCGCCGTTGCAAAGTTCACCTCTATGAGTTGATCTATGGCAGAGGCCTATGTTTTGCAGTGAAATTTTGATTGGTTCTAATAAATAAGTTAATAATACTATAACAAAATACAATACCTGGAATCCCTGTGTCTAAAATGCTAGACGTATAACTGTGGTAACAATAACAAATCTGAATGTATGTGTCGTTGCCTTAGTTACCTGTTATGTGTTAGGTTTATATTCAGAAGTTCATTGTATTTTCAGAAGTTCATTGTATATTCAGAAGTTCATTGTGGTAACAATAACAAATCTAAATTAATGGGTGCGTTTGGCAGAAAAAAGCGCTAGCAAGCGCTTATAAGCGCTGAAATAGTTTTCGGCCAGGACACGATTGCTACTTCGGTAGCGCTGACACAATCCGCCATTTTGCTTATTTAATTTGTTTGTTTTGAAGTAGAGTTTATAAGTTGTTTTGTGCAATATTAGTTTTAAGTAATATAATGACATGAATAAACATATACATGTTATTAAAAAATTCATGATTGGTAAGTTTTTAATATGAATACTTTACAAACATATATTTAAATTAGGTTAGGTCCCCCGGATAAAACTAACATCGTGTCCTGGAGGAAAATAGCTACTTACGATTTGACAGCGCTTACCGCTTACGATCGCCATTTTGCTTACAAGCGCTTGCTAGCGCTTTTTTCTGCCAAACGCACCCAATGTGTCGTTACTATAGCTACCTGTTATGTATTAGGCTTATATACAGAGTCGTGCTATCTCAAACGGTTAGCGCTCGCTGTAAATTTCACAGTACGCGAGCAAATCGGGTTCCATCCCCGCCGGCACCAATGAAATTGTTAATTGCAACTTTAAGTACTGATTTACCACGTGCTCGGCGGTGAAGGAAAACATTGCGAGGAAACCTGCATATCTGACAATTAAGAAAAAAATATTTCGAAGACATGTGAACGTATTGGGGCAGCGCGGCGGACAATTCCTTGCTCTAAAACCTTCTCATAAATGAGTGGAGGCCTGTGCCCAGGAGTGGAACGTATATAGGCTGTAACTTTATTTTTTGACTTTCAGAAGTTCATTGTTCAACGTAATATGAAGACATCACGTCTCCTGCGGTGCACTGCGAATGAGACTATCTGAAATCAATAACCCATAATTTTTGTATTAGCACTATTTTTAGTATTGGACACACATAGACAGACATATATATGTAGACAGATCATAATATAGAAATTATTTTGCAGAAAATGCATGTGTATAAGAAGACATTACAAGCTCTAATCTACCCTATTTCATCAACCACTCCTCATAATTTCGTACTTTGGACCGCCACATCACCAACATACTGTTACGAGTGCGAAGGTTTGCTTTGGGGAATTGCAAGACAAGGAGTAAGATGTACTGAATGCGGAGTGAAGTGCCACGAGAAGTGCAAGGACTTACTCAATGCCGACTGCCTTCAAAGTGAGTTTTGACAGCGATAATTTTTTGTAATTTTTGATCATGGAATTTGTTTTTGGATCCTAATAAAATTAAGCAACTCAATCATTTATTTTACTGTTAACGGCAATTTGATTTTATATGTAAAATAATCCAAACGCAAATTTACACGTATAAATTTTTGATATCGTCGAAAATGATAGACCATTTCTTTTACACAATAATGAATTTTTACACGGTAGTACATTAAAAGAAACAATTTTCATTTTTATTTTACGGATTTAATAAAGTTTAACTTTTTTATATTTGCTCCCGTCGGTTCTAAAGCTCTGTAGCCATAAATAATAAATAAAGTTTATTGGCTATTTCATTTCACATCCAAGTCAAACAACCAAGATTACCTACAAATGCCTATTATCTTCGACGTCGTATTTAATATAATATTGGATATGTTTGCGTATTTTGCTAGTTTCCCGTTTCTAATTCTTGTGCTGTGTCCTGTGACTCATTGTGTCCACTGATCATTGCATATTGCTTACAAACATATATTTTATTCCTACTAGATGTTTGCTTGTATATAAAAGCGGCATTCGCTCCTTATTAAAAGTTGAGTGGTGTCAAGTGTTGTTTAAAAGGTCGCTAACTATAGACGAGATCTTTGTTAAACAACACTCGTGATAAAAAATGCTTAACACATAATTTCATTTTTTTAGTATCGATTTATTATATGCGGTGACCATTAAAATATTATATGAATAAATATGCATATAATATTAAGTACAGTGCTTCGTGTCATCCTTTGATGCATTTTTTAAGAGTATCCTAAAACAAAAGAATCTTGAAGTATCTTACAGAATCGAGATTTCTTTTGTGCTCACTTACTTATATTTTCTACGCCTTTATATTGCAAAAGATATTCTTTTTGTTTCAATTTAATCGCATTCTATTTTAATGTTTTAAAAAATATCAAGTTCACTTCCTCGATTATAAGCGTTGACGTAACCGAAATAATTTAATAAATTAAAAATAAAACTTTAATTATAATTAGTAGGTACTTACTTCTTGACGAAACATTGAGTCATTCTATAAGTACGTTATTATGTGTGATATTGGGGTCACTCCACTAACTTTAGCCAACGCGTAATGGCAAGATCTGGTAGTGAGTTGCGTGTCCGACCTACAAGGCACGAAGCCTTTCGTAGACTGGCTGGCCACTGGCTACAGTTCGGTGACCTTTTTTGGGAAACCGGAGGTTGTATCTTTGCGATACAGAATCAGGTTATTAAGACCAACAACTATCAGAGATACATGATCAAATAGGCATGTCATCTCCAATTGTTTGGCGCTTTCTTACACTGAGTATTTAAACAGTCACAACCTTATAGCCAAGCGCATACACCAGAAGCTCGCTTTGAAGTACGGTCTCGTAGATCGGAAAGCATCCGCCGGTTACTTTCACAATCCCTATACCCCTGACCGTCAGCTTCCATCTCGTTGGGTTTTTATTTATTTATGTATTTTTAGTTCATTCATTGTACTATATTTAAAGTATATTTAAAATTTCCTTTTATATATTCATATAGCCCAAACAAATAAAAATGAACTGTAATACTAATATTACAGTAATATTACAGACATTAAAATATCCAATGCTGGAAAGAGTTCTTCGTAAGTGTATTAAATATTTTTAAAATTAATAAATAAATTAATATAGCTATTTACAAATATCGCGGAGTGGCGGCGTAAAACATATATCACACTATTCCGCCCTGAGGGTAAGGTAGTAAGGGTGAGGGAAAAGGTAATTATGGGAAATGCCAAAAAAATCGAGCTCCCTCCCCCCCCCACTCGACGAGGCTCACTCCAAAAACACGCCAGCAGTATCGTTGCACTCGATAGCTCGTAGGTCCTCGTTTACGAGTCCACTTCGATGAAGCTATAAAGGCCACACGCAACAGCCCGATCATGGCGACAACGTCAAAGATACCAATTGCCAAGCGTAAATTCTTCCTACAACGGAAGAGACAGAAAAAATTTACCCGGAATTTTACGGGTTGATAGAGAATAAAAAATAATATATATATAAAGTTAGGATCGGTGTAGATATTTATATTTTATGCGTAATTTGTTAGATTTAGCACACTAAGCGATGTCAATATAACAAGGTAAAACGTTATTTGAATCAAAATTCGTCGTAGATAAAACAGTAATTTTAGTTCATTTGCATGATTAAAAATATATGCATGTGTTAATTATCACAACATTTGAAACAGTTGAATTTTGTTTTCTTAATATTAATACTAGATCAAACGTTATTAATAATAATACAGACAGAAAAACAGTTAACGAAATTCAAAACTAAATACTAAGAACATTTAGATTTGGAAGTTTATGCTATATATTTGATTCTTACATGGCGTATGTTTCTTCATTAACTCTTTTAAATTTTGGACCTCATAACAAATAGCATGGGTTACAGTCGTCCTTCGAAGCCAATACATTATCACCACATTTTTATGACATTTTTCCTCAACTTCAGTCCCGTTCGACTCCGTTTTAGATTCACGTTTGTATTGTCATGCAGGCGAGCAGTCGTTCTTAAGTACACTATTATTTCATGAAAGTTTTCAATTCGCGTTACTCGACTGCACGTCCTTAACATAATCTAATCTACACTTTGAAAGCAACAGTGATTTTATATCAATTCTTAAATGTTCAATTTTGTTTAAAATAAAATTATTTATATTTCACATGAATATTTTTGTACAACTTTACTGATTATAATTTATCTTTTCATGTTTTTTTTTTCATGTTTATTATTTTTTTATTTTATATTACTTTGTTTGCACGTATTCTTTTTCATATTTTACTTCACTTCGTATGTACTAATATGTAAAATATTATAAAATGTTTTCAAAGTGTGGACAGTTTAGACCATTTTAGTTACGGGTCCGTTCCTGCATTCGTCCGTTCTTACGGGTTGCCCCGCCCAGCGCCGAAACTTGACAACACCCTTAAAATATCTAAATACTATATACCCTACTTTGCAACTGACACTTCCTATTAACTTTTTTTTAAACTTTGAAAAACATAATGGACACTGCGGATCAAATAAAGCTGAAAGTGCCTGTTAGAAATTAACGCACGCTTTTTAATTTCTTTCCAGTTCAATGTTATATTATGTGGTCTTAGATTTTATCTTATTTTGATTTTGAGTTCCTAAATATCGTTTTGTTTTTATTTATTGTTAAAGAATATCGTTAGGAAACTGTACGCCCAACGTAAAACGCCCAAAATAGGGCTGAATTTATTTAGTAAAATAAAAATTATGCAATAACTAATATAAATGAATAGACCTATAAAGCTCCTAAAAGTTAATACATAAAGGGTATTGCTTATAGTATAAAGGGCGTGTCCGGGCTACAATGTTTATTTTGATAATTATGTACAAATTTCGCTAATGAATAATGATTATGGTAAAATTAACTCAGAAACTGATTAGTTTGTGTTTAAATATAATAAAGAGGCGCAGTGCTCAGGTTTGCTGCGACTGGCGCCGCTTGAAGTGAACGACGACATCAGAACTGATTTCCTGAGAAAACATTGAATATTTATGAGTCGGTTTCTGGTGGAGTTGTAGCTATCGAGTGGTCGTAACTGGCCTGAACGCGGGGCGGGGGGCCGTCCCGGCGCATCTAGCACAATTAAGAACTACGTTGGCACCGCCTGAGCAGTGTGTTTCGCAGGGGCTGCTGAGAAGTCTTCGAAGCATGGAGCCGAGGACAAAGCGAACTCTATCATCACCGCTATGAAGGAGCGAATGAAGCAAAGGGAGCGGGATAAGCCGGAGATTTTCGAACTCATAAGGTAAAGATATTTAAGTGAAATTTCAATTATTGCCTTTGGTAAAGTGTTACGAGGAATCAATAATTATATTATGAGAACTTGGTAGTGTTCACCTGCAGCGCTGCGGACCATTTGTTCAATTTCCATACAAACACACAAACGATTGTTTCAGATTTTGATGTTTGGCCGTGTTCAATTTACATACATGTGTAAAACGCCACTACGATACAAGAGAAATTCCTGGAATTTCTCAGGAGAATTTTTTAATAACAAAAAATATTTAAAACAGAAACTCTTACTTATAATACCGTGCACAATTGATTACCTTAGCTCGTTTAGATTAACCTTGGTTGGAAATAATTAGTGTTTTTACTTAATTGATATTTTTATAACTTTTCTTTTTTAATTTTTTTAAACGTTAGGAAACTATGATTTTTTCCTATACCGTGGGTGCAGTTTACAAACATAAATTTTATTAGGACAAACATTCAGACCCGGAACAATTATTTGTAGGCCATATGCTTTGCGGAATTAAACCCCCCCCTTAGCGCTGTAACTCATTACTAAGCCACTGCGCCACGTCCGTCAAAGCAGTGAACTTTACTTATTTTAATTAAAATTTTCTAATTTCCCTTTTATCGGTTTTTTCCTTTATCGGTTCATAAAGTTTCACTGCTATATATGGGTATCTCCTGATGTAGAGAGGGTTCGCCTAAACCGCCATGCTTGGAGGCGAATTGGCGATCACAGTACTGGTCCTGTGGTCGAAACATCTGGATATTTCGCTCCTTTCACGTTGATTCCTGTCGCCGGTCTGAGTATTTACGACTGGCACCCACGAGATGGTCTCTCATCATCCGCCATCTTTCAGACGCCTTGAAATCGTAATTGAAATTCCCGCAGTTGCCTCTTATGACACCCTTCGGACAAAATGAGGTGATGGATCCTCTTACGCTACCATCACACGGTAGATTCCCAAGGGGTATCCTTTTCAATCTACCTACAATGTGTTTTTATTCGTTGCAAAAAGTACTACAGTCTGTATTGTCTGTATGTCGAGTAAGCTTGATTACAGGTTTTGTTTTATAGTTTACAGAAAATATAGGTAGTGCTGAGTTTGAAACATTTGCGACATCGTTTATTTGCGGATTTTACACCAATAGATTTTCTCTTATTCAAAGGCTGTGTGATAGAATTAAACACCAAATCAGTCCACGAAGAATTGGCGCATATGTACCGAAAACAATTATAATCCAATTTTTTTATGCGATCCTTTTCAAATTTTCCTAGTGATGATATAAATGCATTTTTATGCGATCCTTTTCAAATTTTCCTAGTGATGATATAAATGCATTTTTATGCGATTCTTTTCAAATTTTCCTAGTGATGATATAAATGCATTTTTATGCGATTCTTTTCAAATTTTCCTAGTGTTGATATAAATGCATTTTTACGCGATTCTTTTCAAATTTTCCTAGTGATGATATAAATGCATTTTTACGCGATTCTTTTCAAATTTTCCTAGTGATGATATAAATGCATTTTTATGCGATTCTTTTCAATTTTTCCTAGTTATGATATAAATGCATTTTATGCGATTCTTTTCAAATTTTCCTAGTGTTGATATAAATGCATTTTTACGCGATTCTTTTCAAATTTTCCTAGTGATGATATAAATGCATTTTATGCGATTCTTTTCAAATTTTTCTAGTGTTGATATAAATGCATTTTTACGCGATTCTTTTCAAATTTTCCTAGTGATGATATAAATGCATTTTATGCGATTCTTTTCAAATTTTCCTAGTGTTGATATAAATGCATTTTTACGCGATTCTTTTCAAATTTTCCTAGTGATGATATAAATGCATTTTATGCGATTCTTTTCAAATTTTCCTAGTGATGATATAAATGCATTTTTATGCGATTCTTTTCAAATTGTCCTAGTGATGATATAAATGCATGTTGCCATGGAGCAACTCGGAAAAAATTCATAACTCCGAAAATATTACCTTTATCGTAAAAAGTGAAAGGATCTTTATTTGTATTTCATCAAAAGAAAATGTAAAAATATCTGTTATATTTTATTATTTTTCTTTGTCTGGGTAAAAGTATCCAACTTTTGGATTTTTCAACCTTTTAAAAATTCATAACTCCAAAAACATTAACTTTGTCGTAAAAAGTTATAGGACTTTTTTATATGTATTTAAAGAATATAAAATTTGTCCTGTTTGGAAATAACAATTCTTTGTAATTGAAAAAAAATCAGTTTAAACAATATGGCACCGAGTTGCCCCTAATGGCAACATGCATTTAAATTGTGAGTATGACAATTTGAAGAGAATCGCATAAAAAATTGAGGTGGAAAAGTTTTCGGTATTCATGTGCCAATTCCTCCTGGACTAACAACAAAATACGACAAAAATAATGTTTATATACACTGGTTACGTAATCGTAAACAATAAACATGGTCATCTTTTAAAATGTAAAATGTCAATTTATAAGTTTTTTATGACTCTTTTATGGTTGACAAAGGTAGCAACATAGAATTATTAGTAGAATTATTTTTTACTAATTAGTAGAACTAACAACTCTGTGGGTTGAAAACTCTTCAACACACTTTATGACGTCATCTTAGTGAAAGTTTAAAAACTATAAAAAATATAATGATTTCTTATATTTACGCGAACACTACACATTGATTAAAACTACTTTTACGGATTTTATCACGTTTATTTTACAATTATTTTTAATTCCCGACGTTTCGGGCGCTTTCCAGCACCCAGCTTTTTTTTTATTACCATAAACAATAATTAAAAAAGCTGAAGGTACTCCGGGTTTAACAATGACATCGGGACGTCAGTCATCTCAGTCCCCCGTGACCATGGGTGCTGGAAAGCGCCCGAAACGTCGGGAATTAAAAATAATAGTAAAATAAACGCGATAAAATCCGTAAAAGTAGTTTTAATCAATATAAAAAAATAATTAAAATTGGTGCTTAGCTATACATATAAAGGGACAATATAAAAAATAAATTTTGTCATATCTTTTGACCATAGTCATTAGTACTATTAGTAAGTGTTGGACAAAGCTTTTCTAATCCTTTTTTTTTTTTGCGCCTGAAGCAATTAAAGGGCTACCCTAAACGTAGGGAGGCGAAAAATGCATTACGCATACCACGATAGCCGGTCTATCGTGGTTACGAGGGGCTCACTGTCCTACCGGGGACCCTAAGTGGTACACTCTAAAAACCGCCTTTGGGGACAGGCAGCCGGCTGATTAAGCTGTATTGTGTCTTATCATGAGCGACCCTCTTTTGGGAAAAGAGGGCGCAGGCGGCTAAGTGCCGCTGAGGGAGTGCCTACGAAGGCAAATTAATATTAGTTAATGCAATAATTTAATTTAATTAGAGTTGGCCTGAGCCGCCAGGAGGCAGTTCCAGTCGTTTGACAGTTTATTAGGCAGGTCCGAGAGAGAGTTTCTCGGCCTGCGGACACGATAGCGAGAGGGGGGTGGGGCTGCATAAGAAGCTGCCTCACAAATTAAATGGTTTGGGTGCGACTCTGAGGCTTTGAAGAAGTTCTCAGAGAGTTTTTAAAAAAATTGTTGAATTGTTGGGAGCTCTAAGTCCCGATGAAGGTCGGCATTACGGACGTACCAAGGTGCGTTCGCAGCTCGACGACAGAAGAGGTTCTGAACTATTTGGAGTTCATTTAAAATATTAGGGTTTGCGTGGGCAAAGACGGGGCCCGCGTAGGACATGACTGGTAACCTAACGAAAAAGACAGGTGTTATAAGTTTAACCGCTATGTGTATGACTGTCTGTCTGTCTGTGGCACCGTAACTCTTAAACGGGTGAACCGATTTAGGTGCGGTTTTTTTTTTAAATTTAAAAGCAGTTTTTGTAGCTGTGGTTCTTAGACACGTTTTATCAAATTTGGGTCAGCCGTTTGAAGATCAGCTTTTTTGTTTCGGGTTTTTTTTTAATTTTCAGTTTAAGTTATCCAGACTATGAATGGATCTGTTTACACGACTAAGCATTTCTTAATAACTCCACAGTACAGACAATTAGGTGAACCCAGTGCCGACACTGTGTCTATAGTGATGTTGCTGCTCGTCACCAGTCTGAACCTTCACCAGTCTAAAGGATTTGGATTTAATATGTTGTTTGTGCATTCCGAAGATCGTAATCGGTGTCATCAGAGCAATGCGACAGACAACATAGCACTGTTTAGACGCAAGGTCAATTTTGAAAAAAAAAACAGCGTTTTCTTTTTACAAAGAGTATAACAATGATGATGTATAATGTACTTCGTGCTCGACATAAGAAACATCGCGGGGGTACCTGAATGTTTGAGGAGTTAATATTCCTAGGACTCGAGAAGACCGCTACACACACTAGACAGCATCAGCACGGCAACTAATCCCTCTCAAATATCAGAGGAGACCCAGGAATGGTAATTGTATATAAAGTTACAGGCACAGACCTCTGATTTATCAAAACTAAACCCTATCTTTAATGAGCAAGTGCCTACCGCGCTACACTAATGTATGCATTTCTTACTCATGCAGGTTTTCTCGCGAAGTTTTCCTTCACCGCCGAGCTAAATCAGCACTCGAAATCGCATTTAACATCGAGTGCCTACCGCGCTACATGTATGATTTCTTACTCATGCAGGTTTTTCGTTTTCCTTCACGCGAGAAATTTCACTGATGCCGGTGGGGATTGAACCCGGTTAGCGCGCGAGCTGTGAAATTTACAAGCGCTTACCCCCTGATTTACTACAGCTCAGCAAAAGTATATTGGATGTAACTAGCTTTATTGACGATGGAAGAAGATTCCAAAGATTAATATGGATGTGATAGGAGAGAATACATAATAAATAATCTGTTTCTCCAAATGTACATACAGCGCGCGATAACTGGAGCTTACTTAACTTTTTGATGGCTTCACAGATACTGCACAATAATGAAATTTGACAATTTGTGTATGTGTGTGTGACAGACGCGTGTTCAGCATCGAAGGAGAGGGACATTTGGCACACATGAGCACCGTGAAGCAGTCGGTCCTTGATGGAACATCGAAATGGAGCGCCAAGATCGCTATAACAGGTTGGAAGACGTGGCGTGAAATAATAATATAATTCTTCCACAGGTGGCAGCCGGTAATCAGCGAGGATCCCGTACAGAACTGTGTTGAGCACATCACTAAATCTCTTTTCTTTCGTTTCATGTGGCGACCAGGCGGACTTTTAGTGTCGACCCAGACACACACATTGACAGCCTGGAACAGGCCAAGCAAGTCACTATTGAAGGGACTTCGAAATGGTCCTGCAAAATCGCCATTACAGGTTTGCAGTGGTCTTTCGCGGCTACGAACCGCACGCTCGCAGTTTTCGCTCTATTAGACAAAATCTTCGCCTGACTTCCATACAATTCTTATTTTTTGGTATCTGCTATTTAAACAATTACAATTTATATAAATAATTCGTGAAACTTGCTGACTTATATTTGCTGTTGCAAAATATTACCGATTTACTTAAATTGTAATATTAAAAAACGTTATTTATAATATTAGCAGATGTCAGAAAGTCCTCTGCAATTTTACTTCAATTTAAAATCCAATCCATTCACGGACGTTAGTGCACCGCCTCTACTCATCTACAACAAAACAGCTTAAATTGTTCATTTACACTGAGGAAATTCCACGAATCAAACATAAAACATGAATTCTATTACAAAATATACAATTTACAATTTCCGCACACTTGTTTTCCTCACACGTACAGGACGATTATAATAATTTTGTTTATTATCAATTTAATCAATTAATACTTAATTAAACACATTTGCACGCATTTTACAAACACAAATTTAACACGATTTTGAAAGTTTGTAGCACTTTATGATCCGTGTATCTAATTTATATTTTACTATTTCAGACCTAATAGAAACCTTCTAACACGTGTAGTTCTCTTTCTCAGTAGGTGAATGAAAATTGAAAAATTAGTAAATCCAGTAGCATGTGGGCCTAAACCCTGGCACTCTTTAAAGGAATTTCATTTGCATACTTTCCAGTTTTGAAAGTCTGTGAAATTTTCGATTCGTGTAAATTCCGAGATCATTAGATATAAAATCCGAGCATACTTATTTTGTTACTTTCTTCTTGGTCGAAGTTTGCATTAGATGTCGTCGCTGCAATCGGGTCGTAATAGAACTGCAATTTGGACATTTTAGAGAATACTTGGTAGATTTGATGCTGGCGTCTTCTTCTTCCATCCCATCCCAGATCATTAACTTCCAGAAATCCAGACGGTAATATAGCCAACGTAGACCGGCACCGTTGGGTAAGTATTATGTAAAGATAGTAAGCGAGCCTCGAAGAGCCCACTTGCACCACGCAACATGGCTGCGATGCTGAATTAGAACGTGCTATATTATTACGGGAGCGAGATAGATATGCACAGCCAGAGCGAGACAGGACTGTATGCGATTACCTCTAGCCTCTGTACACTTATTTTAGCAGTCGAGTAATGGCTTGTGATACAGACAAACTTCGACTGTGTCTACTAATCATGCCTGTCGCAACCAGGTTGTTTAATATGTGGTGGCTCTTCAATGTCATACTTCAGTAATTTAAAGTAATCAGTATTTAAGTATTTTTAAGTCGTAAATAGTAGTTGTTATAATAATTATAAAAAGTAGACGATTGCTTTTTATATGTAAACATGTTCCATATACTATCACCACTTGATACCTATTAAAAACTTTATACGTACCACGTTCCAGTGCTCCATTTTCAGGTATTATTAAAACGTAGTGATTATTTACTCTTTTGGTATTATTAAAACCTTTTCAAATGGTATAAATAATAATATTTGAAAAGGCAAAGTGATAACAAGTGGTGTTATTATAAAGTCGTGTAAGGTTCATTACCAACAATATTCATGTTTTACAAAAAGAATGGGTTTTCCTACAGGTCCAAGTATGTTATATTAATTGAAAGGAAAATGTTCTCTCTTATACACAAAATCACTATTTATTATTTCGTATCAAAGTTATAATTGTTACTACGTTTAGTATATATTTAAACATCCTCCTTTAAATTATGTAGTGTATTTCCCTTTGCATACTTTGCCAAAGAAAACATTATTATAAATTGATTTTATCAGAACTACACAAGAATACATAGACAAAATAAAATGGAATAGCGTATAGTATAAATAATTTAAAATATTTTTATTGCAAGATAAAAGTCTTAATCTACATCTTTTATATTAATTCGTTCTTTAGCAATATTTCACTACATAATAACCAAAATATCAATTAAATGCATTACTTCCTTTTAACTTTTCTAATTTAGCTAGAGAATGGAAATTTTTCAATCTAAAACTCAATCAAATAAGTTCAATCGCAAGTTGTCATTGTTTAGTCTCGTTACGTACTGACGCTTTTCTAGCGTTCAACTTTTGAGAGTGTAGAACAAGTCGCCAAGTTAAATTATGAGAAGGCTATCTTGTTAAAAATATTATGATGTAATAAACAAACTTGGAGTATCACTTTTTTCTTCAAATTCCATGACGATGTTTTTTTTTTTGATTTGCGAATGGTACTTATTATTAGGAATAACGTTTTTATTTCACATTTTTTTAAGAAATAATCTATTTCTGTAGTAAAACTTTCATCTCTTTGTTACCTGTCAAAGATATCTCGTTCCTTTTGGAAATATAACAGTTATAATTCATTAAGTTCTACATTTTAGTGTTTTTTTATTACAACTAAAAAAATTCCTTTGCGGGCAGTTATTTGTGCACAAGGGCTTATCGCAAAAGACAAGAGCGGAACTTCTGACCCTTACGTCACGGTTCAAGTTAGCAAAGTTAAGAAGAGGACAAGAACAATGCCGCAGGAACTGAATCCGGTTTGGAACGAAAAGTTTTACTTGTGAGTTTAATTGTTGTTCAAATATTGGAAAGTTTAATGTGCTTTAAACTGGAATATTGCATTAAAAATAGTCTAAGAATTACGATGCAAAATCCTCTATCATATAATGTTGTCTTCAACTTATTTAGAGCCGTGGTAGCTAAACAAAGAAATACTTGAATTGCCAATTAGAATTTACGTGTTTTCACTATAATGCTAGGATTGGAAGGAAGGAAACTGAATTATTACCTAGCAGACAGTAAAAGAAGTCGGGGAGATTGCAAGTCATCTACTCCTTCTTTACTTATCCATAAAAGTCAACTGTTAGAGATGGGCTTCTAGCAATGTAGGAATTGATAGTTTGATTTATTGATTGGTTCATTGATTACATTCCATCAAAAGACCACTGCAAAAAAGAAACCCTCTTCATAGGTTGCCTTATACTGGATGATTTTTTTACTGTCTGGAAAAAAATAGGGTATTACAGGTGAATGGAATAGAAGCATATGATGATGAGACATATAAGCAATGATATTTTATATTTTTTTATTTTACATTACCACGTTATGAACTTGATCTATCTATAAATAATACTAATTTGAAATAAATTTTCTTTACTAAAAAAATAAACGGGTATTTTTGGCCGTTACCATTGGTACCTCTTACAATACATTCTCTAACGCCGACAACGGTCGTGTTTAAAAGTTTAGAAATATAATATTTTAAGACAGTCATTATCCGCATGAGCAACTATCTACATAAGAGCTGGATGCTCTTTCATGTGTCAAATTTTTGAAATCAAACTATACTTGTCAGTTACATTAATATAAGTTATGACTACATTACTATTTTTTTTCAAATGCTAATTTAATTCTATAGATTAGAATAATTTTCTCGATATAAATTTTACAAAGCAACCATTACTTTCAGTGAATGTCATAACTCTTCCGATCGCATCAAAGTGAGAGTATGGGATGAAGATAACGACTTGAAATCAAAGCTCCGGCAAAAGTTAACCAGAGAATCGGATGACTTTTTGGGCCAAACGATTATTGAGGTAAATGAGAATCGAAATATTAACACAAAAATTACTTTCAGTAATTTCAAAGTAATTTCATACCATCGGGCGTACTTCAAAAAAAAAAGAAATGAAATGTATAAAATAGTAAAAAAAATCACAAATTTAATTAAACGTGTATAAATCCGCGATGAAATTGTAAAACAGGAAAAGTAAATATACTGAAGATTTTACCTTATTTTTTTATTTACCTTATGATTTTTATAAATTGGATCAGTAAACACGTATATTTGCCGCAGGTTCGAACACTTTCCGGAGAAATGGACGTCTGGTATAATCTGGAGAAGAGAACTGATAAGTCAGCTGTGTCAGGAGCCATCAGACTTCATATAAATGTAGAAATCAAGGGTGAAGAGAAAGTGGCGCCGTATCATGTTCAGGTAAGTGCTTTTAAATTAAAGCCATTCATTAAACAAATGAAATGTTTCACTTATCCTATACACTTAAGAGGTTAAACAGACTGTACTTAGACTCAAGAGGGCAGATTGAAAATATTCTGAAATTATTGTATCGCCGTCAAGTTAAGAAAAATCGTTGTTTTACTTACTTTAATTACTAAAAGAACTTGTTACTATTTTTATGCGGGAAGCCAAATATTGTGTCAACTTAATATTTATCTATCAGCGACTGCAGTTTTTAAACACATTCTGTATGAACATAATGACTAAATTAAATTTTAAATATTCATGGAAAGAGTGACTGGGCCTTTGTTACGTCAGTATGTTTACGCTTTACATAGCACTATAGCACCGCACCAGCAGGGAAGGTTGTCAAACACGAGCTTGTTATAAATAAAAAAGGTGTAATCAAGAGAAACAAATAGTCTACAGGTAAAGAAAGTGTTGGCATCACGCACTTTGGATGTAAGCCAACAAAGTTCGTTATCACCATATTATTTTTCTAAACAGTTCCTTACATTTCTAAGTTTTTTAATTACTCCTTAACTAAATTACACGCGCCAATATTTAAGTAGTATGATTATATTTAGTTTAGTTGGTGTTTTAGTTTCTTGTCGCTTATACCAGAAAGTCTAAAACTATACTGAACACCAAGCTACAATACTTTTGGGGCAAAACTTTCACTTACCACCCGTGAGCTTTCCTCTTTCTTTGATCATCTAGTACGACGGCAGCGATATTACTTGTTTTACAAAAAAAAAAAACTGAGACCATTTGTTACCGTATGCTTCATATACGGCGATGTTTGACTGGTTCTTTGTTTCATGATCATCTCCTGCCATTTGTTTCTGTATATTTCATAAAAAGTAAAGTAAAGTTACAGCCTATATACGTCCCACTGCTGGGCTCATGCCTCCCCTCATTTCTGAGAGGGTTTAGGGCAAGGAAGTGTCCGCCGCGCTGCCCAAATGCGTGTTGACGAACTTCACATGTCTTCGAAAATTTTTTTTTCTTATTCCTCAGACATGCAGGTTTCCTCACGATGTTTTCCTTCACCGCCGACACATCAGCTTAAAATTGCAATTAACAATTTCATTGGTGCCGGCGGGGATCGAACCCGGGTTACTCGCGTTCTGATATATTTACAGCGAGCGTTAACCACTGTGATTTCATACACGGCTATATTTCGCCATCAGTTTTATATCGTTATTTCTCACCAGCGTCAAATTTTGAGAAGAAAAATGCTGAGAAAGTTGATCGTGTATGATGCTTCGTATTACTGCTGCTCCAATACGCAATTCTTGCTTAAGCTTTTCATATATTGGTAATTCGTTGATTTCTCGTATAAGTTTTTGAATTGCTCGAACATTTTCCTTGGAAACCGTAACCTTCACCAAACAAATTTAAAACTGTTGCTTAGTAAACAAACTCACAAATAAATATTTCATAACATTTCTGGGGTTTCAAACCTTTTTTATCGTCAAAGTAAATCACAGCGCAAAGGTCACGTCGGCTAAGCTCCATTATTGCCAGCGGATTCCCGCCTGATTACAAAACACTATTACTCTCTACCAAGAGCGCTTGATTCTCACGAAAACAACATTTCTCAAATAGAATATTTGAACTGATAAGCGTTCCATTTTTAAATTGATCAATAATATCCAGCATTTACGATTATGGATGTAAATTGCCAGTGTCAAGCAAATTAATAAAGGATATCTTAACTTCTTTTGGTATGGTACTTATTCTGTCAGCCGCCAAGACACTGTTTCTGTACGAGTATAAGCAATTCAGCCAAGATTATCATGTTGGTAAACCACAAATGTTTAGTTGTGGTTGTATTGTAATCATCTCCGCATTTAAAGCTCCCTTTAATCTCATAGATCTCAAAGCGATCTTATAGGGTTATTTCGGGCTCGGGTTGATTGAGCGCCCCTAAGTTATTTATGTAGTTTAAGAAAACATCGCTTATATTGTCAGATAATCAGTGCCCTCTTAATCTCTTGCACTAATTCCACAGATTTAACTACAAAATTAAACTATACATTAGATAAATTTACTGGCTGGCTACAATTACATAATTTACAACTTAACCTTAATAAAACTAAAATTATTCAATTTAAACCCTACCAAAAAACTGGTTTACAAATATCGTTTAACTATAAAAATACAAAACTAGAAACTGTTAACTCTGGCACTTTGTTAGGAATAGACCTGGACACACATTTGAGTTGGAAACAGCACGTACAAAAAGTTGCAAAAAAAATATCCTCATTTATTTATGCTCTGCAACACCTTAAACGTGTGACAGATTTTAAGACTGCCCTTGCGGCTTACTATGCACATGCTCACTACGTACTCTCCTATGGCATCATCTTGTGGGGAAACTCTTGTGATGTAAATAAATTATTTATATTACAAAAGAAGTGTCTACGAATATTGATAAATTTGGACAAAATGGAGTCACTTCATTAAAAATAAAATTTTAACACTTACGTCTATCTACATCCTCGAATCTTGTAAATTTGTTAGGAAACACCCAAAACTCTACTCACCTATTAAAAAGACTAAAAGAAATAATAGAAATTTATATAAGCTTAAGATACCCTTCTCCAAATTAAAATTAGTTTCAAACAGCCCTCACGTTATGTCAATAAAGATTTGTAACCATTTACCGAATTCCATAAAAATCCTGGAAAATCCTGTGCAATTTAATAAAGAATTAAAAATATTTCTTATTAATAAATGTTACTATAATTTAAATGAATTTTTTGACGATAAATAACGATAAAGTAAGAATACTTAGACTATACATTGTGTTTCAAATTAAATTAATTTATATAAAATAATATTGAATGTTGATGATATGATAATTGTAATTTATGTTTAAAAATTAGATAATACGAAAATAGTTAGCCCTCTAGTGTTGCTATGCCCTTGCGGGGCATCACATGTATACGTATCAAAATTATACCATCTTAAATTTGTAATGTGACATGCAATAAACAATTTGAATTTGAATTTGACAATATTTTGGTAGTTGCCATCATTGTTGAATTGGCTGATCGTGACTATCATTATCAACTTAATCTATATAAATTTCTATAAAAATATATTATTACGTCTTAATGAAAATTATTATAAAGTAGAAAGTTGAAAGCCAAATTTGTAGGGACAATATATGGTATGATGCTTTCTAATATTCATTTAATATTATATTTCATATATATCTCATTAATTTACTAGATATTCTAATACAAACAATATTCTCAGTGAAATATTCTTGTTTCTATTTTAGACCAAATTCTTAGCACTATTTACAAAGTTAAATAGTCCATTCATTATAAAGCACAGAAAGATTCTTAAATGACGGTCCGCACTCAGGCCGCCGAGTCCAATGGGGTAACTTTTGAGGATAAATGTGAAAAGTTGCGAGAAGCGGTTAACTAAGCGAAACTGTTGCCTAATGCTAAAGCGTAATTTCGTCGCTGCGTTCAATCCACGTGGGAATAAACGTTGTGATTCCTAATGCAAATTATTATTACTTTAGGTATTATTTATAACGATAATGTTCAACAAGAAGCTACCAAGCTACTATTAATACAAATACCTTTTTTGTAAAATGAGACAATAGAAAAGAAAGAGTTTTTAGTCAAACCAGCCAATAATACATACATACTCGTAGTTATGTTATTCCGTCATGCAATTTGTTATTTTAATGCGAGACCTACGCTTAGCATTGGAGCACCTTGTGATAAATTGTAATGATGATAATGATTGAATTACATTAACTATCACCTCAAAACTAAGAAAATTACGCTTGAATATCGCATCGCTTGTTTTATATGCAAAATAACGAAAAGAATAATTAAAATTCATAACTATTATAGCAGTTTCTTTACTGCTAACATGAATTTTTCTAAGAAACAAAAAATAAAACCATAAATAAAGAATGTAACGCAAGACATTTTTAAATTTTTTAAGATAATATTTATTTTAAAATCAATAATTTAAATTTGACGGTAGGCCCCTTTTCTACTTGGGAGTGCATCTAGGTAGGTGCAACCTTTTTAATTATTTCTGGCGCCAACATTCACTGCTTTATTGGGATCTGAAAAGTGTAGAGATCAAGTATAATTATAGGCATTCCTTCTCCTCCTCAGAGGCGACAACGCATCTGTAGTCTTCTTTTATTGGAGTTGTTGTCCATGAGCTGCAGGAGCCGCCAACCATCAGGTGGACTGTAGTTCGTTTTTGTTGTAAGATAATATAAAAAATATAGCCATACATTCGTCAATTGCCTTGCATGTTTAACATAGTTACCGTTTGTGCTACGGGTAAATTACTAGAGATGGGTCGAATATTCGTTTCATATTCGGTATTCGGCGTATTCGGCAGCTTTACCGAATATTCGTATTCGGCCGAGTATTCGGCTAAATCATTCGGTGAAGTGGTACTCAAAATGTCCCCTGTATTGAAACGTACGAATTGAGTAATGCCATGTCTTTCATAATTTTACTATTGAAAGTATATTTTATTTATGGGTTAATTTTTACTTGTATAGCGTTATGTTTTTGAAGCACTGTATAATTATTTCAAATTATATGAAATAGAATGCTTGATAAAATGTTTTTGGAATCAAACCAGGAAACATTGCATTACATTAGTATAAGTATTTCATTTTAATTTGGTCGTCAGTTTCTCTAAATAAGTCCAAATAATAGATCTCCTGTCACTTATTTTTCATCACATAATTATCAATAGTACCCGGATGAGCGAGCTTTGCTCGGTTTTTTTAAGTTACATTTATATACTAATTACATGAATAATAGTTTTTGATCTTATTGACATATATATAGAAAAAACTGAACTGGTTATTTGAATAAAAAATCATGAGTGCAATTAGTTTAATTAAAGTTTTCGTATTTTTAAAAAATACTAAAAAAAAGGGCTCGAAATAATAGCAAATAAATATTTTCTCA